ACTTCATCTACAGAAGGGTAGTCTTGGAGAGCGCGTGGCGGAGGTTGAACTTCTTGTTCACCTGCCTCGCAATCACCCTGCTGCCGTTCACAGCCTTGGCCGTGCCGTTGCTGGCAAACCCGTTGTTCGCGAGCTTGTTCACAGTCGTGCGGGGGACCTGTCCAATCGCGCCGTCCAGCGCGGTCTCGGTAATGTAGCTGCACAGCTCGACGGGGCTCGTGGGCGCGGAGCCGAGGCCGAGGAAGTACGCGGCCAAGCCAGCAATGTGGGGGGAGGCCATGGAGGTACCGGAGATGGTCCTGGTGCGGCCGTTGGGCCAGGTGCTCAGGATGTCGGTGCCGGGCGCGAGGATGTCGACGGAGGCGCCAAAGTTGGAGTACTCAGCGAGGGTGTCGGTTTCGGTGGTCGCGCCGACGGTGCAGACGCTCTCCTCGGAGCCGGGGGACGAGGTGCTCGCGTCGGCGGCCTCGTTGCCGGCGGCGGCGGCGAGGAAGTGGCCGGCCTTGACGATGGCGGCGGCGGCCTGGTTGACCGCGTTGGAGGACTGGCCGCCGAGAGACATGTTCACGACGACGCCCTTCTCGCAGCCCTGCTGGCCCGCAGCGTCGGCGGCGACGAAGTCCATGCCGGCGATGACGGCGGAGTTGGTGCCCTCACCGTTCTGGTCGAGAACCTTGACGGCGAAGAGCTTGGTCTTCTTGGCGACGCCGTAGGTGCGGGAGCCGATGGTGCCGGCGACGTGGGTGCCGTGGCCCTGGCCGTCGGAGTCGTCGTTGTCGGCGTAGTTTGCGAGGAAGGTGGCGCGGCCCTCGAACTCCTGATTTCATTGGTTAGCCCGAGATTCATCGGCATGGCATGTGTTCGAGCTGTGTACGTACGGGATGCTCGACATCGATGCCGGTGTCAATAATGTAAGCGCAAGTGCCCTCACCAGCGCTGTCGTCGTAGCTGTACGTCGTTCCACCAGGCGAAGAGCTCGAGAGTCTGGCCAGTCCCCATGGGGCGTTGGTCTGGGTAGCGCTGATCGACATGATGGCATCCTGCTCGATGAAGTCGATGCTGGGGTCGTTCTGCAGAGTCTCAATCTCAGAGGCGTTCAGCGTCGACGCGAATCCGCGGAGGTTGTTGGCGAAGTTGTACACATGGTCTGCCTCGGCGGCGAAGGCCGACATGGCTGTCGCCATCGCACCGGCCTCGGCCTCGGGCTTGAGGCGGACGATGTACTTGTCGGCAACGAGCTTGACGTTCATGCCTCGGGGCTTGATGAGGGGCGCGGGCTGGGCGCGGCGGGCGGACGGGGCCGCGAGGGCCGTCAGGGGGAGAAGGGCGAGGAGCGTTGGGAAGTGCATCTTGGCGCTTAGTCAAAACCCACACAGCACACACACGGAAAAGCAAAAGAAGGACTTGGGATAAAGAGTGAAAGAGAAGGAAAGGAATGAGATTTCTGATCAAGATCGTAGAGAGCGGAAAGTCTGTTGAAAAGGAATGTGAGATGTGCGCTGGTTGAATGTTTGGCCTTTGTGGTTCGATGGGTGTCGAAGCCTGGGTGGTTCCATCAACGTCCTCAACATGCGGCAGACCGTCAGAGTCTTATACTCCTGCATGATCATGCATCTAGCCAAGCGAACATCAGAGCCTCCCGGAGCCAGTTCTTTTCTTAGTGTGTCGTGGATTCCCACGGTTCCCCTTCTGGTCCATCATCAAACCCGCTGTTTGTCCAAGTCTGGCAGGTGGGCAGATCAAGATTTCGCTGACGGCTCGCGGCTCCGCGTCTCCTGTTGGACGGAGATGGGGTCATGGATTAAACCGCGGGCCCCGCTGCTGGAGCCGATGTTTGAATTAAAGGAAACCAAGGCCAGAACTACCGGGGACCAACCACGGCCGCCGAGAGAGCCTCAAGTCGAGACAGCCACCCGTTCGACGGGCTGCCAGCTGCTGCTTGCTTGCGCTGCCGCTGGGCGGGATCCATGCACTGTTGCGTTGGCCCCGTTGAAAGATGATGTGTTGTGGTGGGTGAAAAGAGGGTTGCAGGGCTCCGCTTTCATGTCGATCACCGCGCCGGGGGTCTTCGGGCTGCCACCTCCTTGACACGGCAGTGCTTTTTTGCGGATCAGGGCACCACAATCAAATGTTGAGAGAAAGGAGTTCGAACAATCGAGAGCGAATGTTGGCTGGAGGCAACAATGTTTGGCTCGCTCGTTGACAGCCAACAGAGCTGCCGCTGCTGCGCCTTTGCCCAGCAAACCTCAGTCTCAAACCCCTTCACCGTGCAGGCAAACCGCCCAATGGGAAACATTCAACGACGGTATATCCATTCAGAATTAAGCATGAGCCAGCGGGTCGCCCACGCTGGGACGAACCAATCCGGATATGGGATGGCATCCATGAGATCCAAGAATGGCTCGTTTCAGGGGTTTTGACGCAGCCGATTCGCCACGCTGGAAACGCCGCCAAGGAATTGACCCGATATGCGATCAACATGTCTCACTTCTCCGTCTGGCCAACCAACGTTGCTTATTGGCAAAAACCAGTCGTTCTGAGGGGACGGAAAGAAAGCATGATGGTCTATCTCCTGGTGGGGTTTCGGAGAGAGGCTCGCTCGCCTGCCAGGATCCTGTGTGCCCTGATTGCTCCAGTATTCTGGGCAACCGTTATTGCGATTTTCTCAACTGCTGTGGGGATCGAAAAGGGCCTCCCTATTTCGGAGTTTCGTTGGAACGACGGGGATCATGTGCATATCACATGTGGCCAATAGAGGGTTAATGCTTGCGCTGAAACCATGACGGAATTACTTGGACGAGCTGAGAGATAGACTCCTCAGAGACACGGTGTCGCAGTTTACGACGTGATGCGATTTTCGGCCGGTCGGAACTTTTGTTATCTCAAGCAACTACCCTGCAACCTTGTTTGCGATCAACGCGGCGTTCCGGATCTTCATTCGTAAGGTTGGGAAATAAGCTTAGCACAGCGCGTGTGCGCGATAATGTTTGACGGGAAGGAGCAGAGACGACTGACTCGGTGTTACACCAGCTCATGCGGGCTGCCGCCTCCGAAGGTGCTTGGGAGTTGCCAAGAGAGTGGGATACGAATCTTGATTGATCGCATCTCAGACATCAAACGGGGAGGCTTGACGGCAAATTTCTGCAAGACAGGGACGAACCGGTATTGGAAGGTGTGCTGGATTGGTGAAACCAGCGCGTCACATGATGGAACATTCCGTCGGTGAGGAAACATCCTCATTCGAGCAGGAGGTTATCGCGTTTCTCGAATATTGTCTTGGTAACACAGACAAGATCCTGGTGTTCCCTAGAAACGCTTTGATATGCCAGAGCAGCATATAGAACAGAGACGATGACTGGACGCAAAGTGCGGGCATCGGTGGTCTGGAAGATGTCTTAGACGGTCAGGTCCGGTGGCAATACCTTCCATTCGGCTGTGAGCTTGAGTTCATTGTTTTCTCTTACAGTGATGCATCCACGACATCCTCGCCGATAGACAATTATTGTCTTTATTCCACAAGCTTGAGTTCTGTTTCCGATACAAGGCACATGGAAATCACTCGGCGCTCGGCCACGTAATCACAAGAAACTTCAGTAGCCACAGTCACAATGTCTTCAGAAACGGATCTAGCTTAGGTCTCCGTCGCTACCCATGTCTACATAGATTCAAACGATCGCGATTAGTGGTAACTTTCAGGTCAACCACGGTTCAAGTGTATTTGCGCACCGTGATTTGGACGCGGAGGACTCTGGAACGTCTGTTCGTCTATTGCTAGACTGGGTCAGTGCTTGCCAAGGATCGTCACACGGCAATTCCACATTGCAATAAAATCAGTTGTAGCTATTATGTTGCCAAAGAAGAAAAAACATGCAAAAGCGATGAGATTTCAGAGAACACCACTAGCACGACGCCAACACTTCCTATGTGAGGAGAGAAAAAGAAGTAAATAGCAATACGGTGGATTAACCATACATTTAGCCATCCCAAACACGTTTGTGGAATAATGGAGAGAATCCTATCTAGTTATCGTGTTATTAGTGTTGAAATCGGGTTAAACTGGGGTTTAAATGTATTAAACACAAGTGGTACCTATTTTATGATTAGTTAGAATTCTACTTCTACAGGCCATCAGGCTATAACAACTCGAATAAAGTCACCGTTGACTATGTCAACCTGCTGTTCAGATGCGGCCGGATCACCTACCGCTCTAAGGTCGCGCAATCCGGGATGCTCTCATTCGTTGATCCTAGAAATAGCGAATTGCTCCCTACACTGAATCCTAGGATGAACCGGTCGGATGAGACTGTTCCTAGGGCTCAATGTGTACTATCCACAGCTAGTCCGCTGTTCTTATGATCATGATTACATCAACGGGTATCGGATTACTGATTGGGCAGTACTCGTTGATGGTCTCTATTTCCTGGGGTCCCGGGCATGGCAGGACCTTAGCTTCACCGGCATCCAGTACTTTACGATCTTACTTCTTTTTATGGTAGCATACGATGATTTTGTTCGTTAACATGACCACCTGGCGCATTACATGAAAGAGAACTACAGCATCAGTTCTCTAGAAAAGGGCCAAACTTTGAGGCGCCAGACATCATGTCCAATAAATAAAATGAAGTTATGACCGCAGCTGACGACCGCGTAGATTTAAAGTTCTCAGATAGTTCAATCACTGCCAGCCTGATTGCTTGGTATTGTGCCGTCTTCAGGATGCGAAACTGCTCACAGGCCTCATAATGCCCAGGGTGGGGGTTTCAGCGACCGCTGTCATCCGTTTCTCCCTCAGAATGTCGCCGGCGGAAAGTATAAATTCCAGCTACCTATGTCGACCAAGTGCAAACGCATTCTTTGGTTGTTATACTTTAAGTCCCGCCTCACATCTCTTCTTGAGTTCTTCACCAACGTTTCAGTGCTGGACACATTTAAGAATTGGCCCGCAAGAATTTCCAGTCGATCGTTACTTTCGCCAACACACACTCTCTCACCCGACGAAGATGGAAAAGCTTGAAGACACGGGGGCGATCCACGTTCCTTTCAAAGAGCCGCTCGGCAGGATACGCGGATGGTTTTCCAGAGCCTGGTCTCTCAAATCGCATCACAGCTTACTTGAAGGCGACGACATGTACTCACCGACCGAACTGCCGCTTGACGAAACGGAGAGATCACCGCCCCTCTCGAGAGCCTCAATCGGATGGCGGCCCGTCAGTCCACAGCGCCTGTTTTGGTTGATGGTACCATCGTATGCCGCCCGCGCGTTCGGCCACGGCACGGCAGACTCGAATATCCCGGCCCCCAACAGCACATCGTACTTGAATGGTCTTCGCGGCATCGCATCCCTAATTGTTGTACTTCAGCATACTATAGACGGAGATGTAAGTGATTCGGAGCGCCGTTACCTTTGTTGGATCAAGCACCAACGATCGCTATGGGTGTGAACAACTGATTCTCGAAAGTCGACTTACAATTGAGTTCAACAGTACTCGATCGTTCATCACGCCTGGGGTGAGGACGATGAAAATCGCTATTTTATTCAGCTACCGTTCGTTCGCCTCATACATAGCGGCGTATTTATGGTATCGGTCTTCTTCGTCATCAGCGGATTTGCTCTTACATACGGACCCCTGAAAAAGTCCCATGCCGGACAAGGCGCCACTGCTATCACCTCTTTCCCGTCTAACATTTTTCGCCGTCCGTTCCGGCTCTTCCTCCCTACCATACCTATCATCGCGATCTCTACCGCCTTGATTCCTTTCAACGGATTTTACGCTCTCAACAGCTTCGAGCCTATGGAGCCTGTCGCCCTCGGTCTTTGGGGCCATCTGCACTACATGTGGTGGACATTAATAACTATCATCAACTCCGGCTCAGCCAACACAGTCATGCCTCAGGGCTGGACTTTGGCGGCCGAGTATCAGGGATCGTTACTTGTGTTCCTATCCTGTTTGGCCTTTCTCAAAATGGCCCCCATGGTGCGGATGTCATTTACCGTCCTACTCCTGAACTACTTCTTCTACCTACGAAACTCGTACTCCTGCCTCTTTCTCGCAGGCATGCTCATTGCCGACTTTCGACATATGCGGGCAAAGATGCCAGACTTACCGATAATGGCACGCAAGATTATCACCATCACATCATGGCTGCTGCTTGTGCCTATCATCTTTTTGGGCTGCTGGCCGATGCATGGTAACGCCTTCGCAGCACCTGGATATTCGTGGTTTATCGAGTTCGACACGTATGGCTTCGGACCACAAACCTTCTTCCAAGCTACATGTGCTGTGGCTTTGGTGGTAGTATTGGAAAACCTGCCTCCTTTACAGCGTCTTCTCAATACCAAACTGGTATTATATCTGGGAGAGATCAGTTACAGTCTCTATCTGGTTCATTGGGGCTGTGGCAAGAACTTCCTCACTTACGGTCTTAAACTCGAGATGATAGAAGCTGGGTATAGCCTCATCGCGTCATGGGGTTCACTTTTTGTTATCACGATGGTGTTATGTTTTTGGCTAGGGGATGTTCATTGGCGCCTGGTTGACCAGAAGTCAGTGCGATTCTCACATTGGCTGAGCAGGAGTCTTGGCATATAGCGAGCGATCTTTGCAAGACATTGGCCTCCTGAAATCCTAATAGATATCAACCATACCCGACCTATATCATGGACTAGGCTTCTCAGCCCCTGAAGAGACAGCAACTTGTGCAATAGCTATATGAGGCTGTGTTCTCATGTGCCCGCCTACTAACCCTACACGCAAGCTCATCTCATGCATCACTAGACTCTGGTGACTAGAGTAGCTGGAAAGCAACAAAGTTTAGAGCGAGGAGCCGAGAAAGCCAGTAGCATCTCAACAATAGAGAACCCGCCACAATTTGCCAAAATGGTTTGAAGTACGTCGACACACTGGGACTTGCAGTCGGTAAACTGGGCAAGCTGCACTCCACGCTCCCCCACACGGAGTAGTCCGGTGGCGTGGGACTTCGAGCCAATAATATGACTGCCAAAAGGGACTTGCGAAGGATATATTAGCCTGAATGCAACTCAACCGGTGAACTCCATTGAAAGTCTGAGGTTCCGAATGTGTGATAATGTCGGCCGAACTACAACGGTACACGGGGGATTAGGAGACGAATTGATCACCAATCCGCACACCTCGCGTCGAAATAAGCCGACAGGCTCATTCTCACTGATCGGAAATCTCGCGAGAGATTTTGTCAAGACATGCATGAAGCCTCTCGAAAGACGGTTCCCTTTGCGGCACATAAATAGATACAACAACAAACAATGTAATTACAAGAAGACTATCTCATGGCTTAGCCACGTTCTCTCGCTTGCTACGATCAATCATGGCGGTCTCGATCTCCAAAGTCTCTTTTGAACACCATCCCATCGCACTTGGAATTGGTGAAGACAAGCCACGTATCTCTTGGCGCTTCGATGGCCTAGAGCAAAACTAGACTCAGAATGCGTACCAGATCGAGGTCAAACGCCAGGGTTCATCCAGCATCCACGGCTTTGAGTCCTCTGACTCTCTCTTTGTGCCGTGGCCACAGCCGCCCCTCGCATCAGCCGAAAGGGCTACTGTTCGAGTGCAAGCCTTCGGTGGCGTAAGCAATTCGTCAACTCCGTGGTCTGATTGGGTTCCCGTCGAAACCGGCCTCTTGACCCAGAACGATTGGTCTAGCGCGGTTCCCATTGCTGCCGATCGAGAGACTGAGGTCGACGGACCCAAGAGACCAATCTACTTCCGAAAGTCATTCAGTCTCGGCAATGCAACTAGACCCAAGATCAAGTCTGCGCGACTATACATCACCGCTCTTGGTCTTTACGAAGCTGAAATCAACGGAAGGCGCGTTGGTGATCATGCCATGGCACCGGGATGGACTTCGTACAACTTTCGCCACGTCTATAACACTTACGATGTGACCGACCTATTGAAGCCAGGACAAAATGGCATCGGTGTCCTTGTTGGCGAGGGCTGGTTTTCTGGCATTCAGACCGCTGCGGGGAACTACCGCAATAGCTACGGCGATACTCTAGGCGTCCTATCGCTGCTTACCGTAAAGCTTGCCGATGGAACCAATATCAAAGTGGCCACCGATGATAGCTGGCAGGCGAGCGAAGGGCCCTTGGCCATTTCAGAAATCTACAACGGTGAGACTTATGACGCGCGGCTTGAGGATAAGATCCGCGGTTGGTCAACTGGACATGTCAATGGCAGCAACTGGCTAGCAACGAAGGAACTCTCTCCTCTAAAGGGCAAGCTTATGCCTTTGGATGGGCCAACAATCAGGAAGGTGCAGAACATCTCTCCCAAATAGGTGTTTTCGTCGCCTTCTGGGAAGACCTTAGTGGATTTTGGACAAAGCCTGGCAGGATGGGTCAAGCTGTCAGTCAAAGGACTCGCATTCTCGGAGACGACCAACATCACTCTCCACCACGCCGAAGTTTTGGCAAACGGTGAGCTAGCCCTTCGACCGCTAAGACGCGCCAAAGCTACCGATACTCTGATCCTTGACGACAATGTCAATCAGACCCGGATCTAGGAGCCTCGATTTACGTATCATGGCTTTAGATACGTTCAAGTAGATGGATGGCCTGCAGAAGTTCCTCTTGATGAACACACCATCCAGGCAGTTGTCGCTCACAGCGACATGGAGCGCACGGGCTGGTTCGAGTGCTGTAATGGGCTATTGAATCAGTTCCACGAGAACGTCGTCTGGTCCACCAGGGGGAATTTCTTCGGCATTCCGACCGATTGTCCCCAAAGAGACGAGCGCCTCGGCTGGACTGGTGATGCTCATGCCTTTGGACCAAAAGCTAACTACGTCTTCGACGCTTCCGGCTTCTGGAGAGGCTGGCACAAAGACATCTGGTCTGAGATGCAGAGACAGGATACCATGTATGTGCCGTTTTTCGTCTCGGTTGTTCCATCAGAGATAAACACCAAAGCGTGGAATCCTTCGAGGCCCTCAGCATTGCGGGGCGATGTTGCCGTTGCCGGGCCTTTCAACCTCTACCAAGCATACGGCGACCTTGGAATGCTGCGAGAGCAATACAACCAATCCCAAGCATGGATGGATAAGGGGATCCCTCGAGACTCTCAAGGACTCTGGGCAAAGAACTCTTACCAATTCGGAGACTGGCTGGATCCCAAGGCCCCAGCCAGCAATCCCGAGAGAGCGACTACCAACAAGTATTTAGTGGCGGACGCATACTTGATCAGAATGACGGAGCTGATCAGCATTATATCGACGGCATTGGGACTCCACAATAAGGCTGAGGCATACAAGACACAACGCCTGGAGCTCATCGAAAGCTTTCGGGAGACTTGGATGACGAATGGCACTATGCCCAATCGGACGCAGACTGCGTACGCGCTTGGTCTCGACTTCGGAATCTTCAACGAAGAACATCACGGCAGTGCCGTCAGCACGTTGAAGAGCTTAGTAACCGAGAGCAACTACCTTGTTAGAACAGGCTTTGCAGGGACGTCATCCTTAGGCCCAGCCTTGTCGAGAAACGGAGCGGTTGATGAGTTTTACCGTATGTTGCTGCAAACCCAGGTGCCGTCTTGGCTCTATAAAGTCGTCATGAACGGAACAACGACATGGGAAAGATGGGACAGTATGCTGGCTGACGGCTCGGTCAACCCCGGAGCAATGACAAGTTTCAATCATTACGCTTTTGGATCCGTATCCAAGTGGATACATGAGAACATCGGGGGTGTGGCTCCTGCCGAACCCGGATGGAAAAAGATTCGAATTGCTCCGGTGCCTGGGGGGAACATAACAAGCGCCAGCTCAAGATTTATCAGCCCTTACGGTGCAGTACGTGTGATGTGGGAGATGGATGACAAGCGTGGTTTCCACATGGACATCGAGGTTCCTCCAAACGCAAGAGCTGAAGTGACTTTGCCGGGGGGTAATTCGACTACTGAGGAGGTTGGATCCGGACGATACAAATTTTATAAGCCAGGTAGCTATTAGCTAACTTGAACATAGACTTCTCATCCTTTTTTGACTGTGGCAATGTTCAACCATACTCTGTTTTCCTTGAAGTCAAAACTTGCTCCATGTTATCAACGAAATTTGATGACCCAATCGTCTTCATCTTCCTCCTCATCTTCCTCCTCAAAAATGGGTTCTGCTCTCCAAGGAAGATCATACCCAGGCCTTTGTAAATGCATAAGGGCCGCCTCGCCTTTCGTACAGGTCGGGCCTTCTTCCCGCCACGTCACACCTGGGATGGGAGGACCCCAAAACTGGCCCGGCCCTAGCCCCGCAGTCAGCACGCGCTCAAGATGGTCAGCGGAGAGCCGCATCATGAACAGCGCTCGCGCCGGGTCCGGGTGATTTTTGCAAGCCTGCAAGATTTCTACAACGTGGCAGGGCGTGGCGGGCCTGCCGAGCTCGTTGGGCACTGGTCCGATGACATCTTCGACGAACGGTCTGATGTCTTCTCTGAGATCTTGTAACACCCAGAATGCTTGAGCATGAAGAACGAAGAAAGGGAAGGACACTTGGTAGGCCTCATATTCCAGTGCGTTGGAAAGGTCGATGATCACGCTGGCAGGGTCCATGGCCTCGGGATGTACCGGCTTCCTGGCAGCTTTGCCGTTCGACTTGGTTTTCTTTGGCTTTTGTGGCGTCTTCGAATCCTCCTCTGCAGGGAAGTGGAAACGCTCGGGGATGATCTCATAGACATCCTCAAGTCTCCAGGCACCTGGTCCCGTTCGTCCGTAGTTGGCGACGTATCTGTCATAGAACGCCATCCAAGTTGGGGTGTTGAGTTGGATCAAACGGTGGTATACATCTTGAAAGACCTTCGTCCGAGTTTTGCCTCGCCGCTTGGAAGGATCCATGAAACTCGTGGCCGACACGCCAAGCTGCATCATGAGACTCTTGGCATACTCTTTCATCTCTCCCGGGACTTTGCCCCCGATGAAGAATTGAGAGAGCCCGAGTAGAGCCATGGCTGCTTCTAGATCAGGCCAAGACTGCTGGAGTTGCCCTTCAGCCTGCACAGCGTTATACAGATGCATGGCGCAGAGAATTGATCGGGAAACGTTCGCGGAATGAATGCTTGTGCGATACATGGTGAACCGGTACGCGTAAAGAAGCAGGCCGCATGCGATGGGATGCCTTTTCCAAAAGCCATGTTTCTCCGGTTTGGCCGCGCTTCCAAGCTTTTTCTTCTTCTGCAAAGCCAGCTTGGCCATGTAAATGGGATCCTCTTGTAGTTCCAGACAGCCTGTGGCCACTTCTCTCATCTCGTGATCATACTCGTCGAATTCTTCGAACACGTCCAAAGTAGTGAGCACCCGATAATACTCACTGAACTGATCACACAACTTCTGCATGATATCCAGCATCTCGTCTTTCGGCTTGGAGATCTTTTTGCCGAGATAGTGGTGAATATCAAGCAGCACCTGTGACGCGAAGGCCAGGTAGAAGGGTATCTTCCCAGTTCGACGAGCTTCCCTTAGGCCGCGCAGTAGGTTGTCTTCGATGACATGTGGCCATTCTATCAACTCGGAAGGACCTTTCTTTCCGAGATGGTCGTCAATGAATGCGACATCCTCAAACACATGCTTGAGAATGTCGCGGTCGCGGTCGAACTTCGGGACCCCCTTCCGAGCCATGACATCCTTCATATTGTCGAGGTCAACAGGCTCAATGGGTTTCTTATTCGATTGCAACCCCGGTAGTACCTCGCTGAGGATACTGAGAGTGTTCAAAAAGCTCTCCCTGCCGCCAATGTAGAACAAGTCGTCTACGCTGTCATCAATTCTGAGGCCAAGCTCTGGTGCGTCGGTGTTTCCGGGCGTCATAGACCAGGATACGATCAGGTCGCAAAGCATGTAATGCTTATTCTTCAGCGCACCGTAGAAACCATTCTTTTGCGACTCGAGTACCGGGAAAACGTCGTCAATCATATGACGTGCCAAGTCGAACCCGGTGTTGGAGGCAACTGCCACAGCCGTCAAGTCCGCATCGGACCCTTTGTTATAGTTTATCCACATGGCTTTGATCGCACCCCGAACATTGATAAGATCCTTCCACAGGAGGTCCAAGATGAACAGGGCGTCCGTGTCAGACATAGTATCTTCTGCCTCGTAGACAACCTTCGGTTTTTCAATGTCGGGAGCGTCGAGGAATTCCTGGGAGGGCTCATCCACAGACAACCCTTCTCGAATTTGTTGGAGAGATTTGTCTCGACAGACTTGGCTTCTGGAGTCATGAGCGGTCGAAGAACGTCGCGAACCTGCTCGAGAATGCCGATGAAATAATTGTGACCCATGTCGGACTCTGGGTTTCGTTTGTTCTTGATGCCAGCTAGCTTCGAACTGAACTCCTTCCGCAGCCGGATGACCCGATTAATGGCAATTGCGAACACTCCGGGCACTTTAGCCTTTTCACTCTTCGAGGTGGATATGAATTGAGCCAGCGGGATGTACTCCGCGACGGCAACGGTGTATTTCTTCGGGCCACTGTGTTCACCACTGTCGGCGGCTTTCCCGGACTTCTTCGGCTTCTTCTTGCCCTTCGAATTTTTGCCGCCTTTGCTCTTCGACTGGCTGGTTGAGCTGGTCTGGGCGGAGGTTGAGGCTTCGCCCCCAGCGGCAACCTCGGAGAGCAGGTCCTCAGGATACCCACATGTTTTGCGGTTGTAGCCAGCCATGACGCGACGATGTTGGCGTCTCTTTTATACTGTTGGTAGACACTCTTCAATCCAACTGGAGGCATGGTGTGATATTGTTGGATCTCTCTCCCGGCGACAACGACTCTTGATCACGACACAAATCGCTGGAGGTATGGATTGAGGTTCGCGCCGCGCAAATTTGGGCGGGGTAGCGATTAACGTGATTTTCTCCACACACTATCAGCGGGGCTTGGACCCCGAGCCGCGGATAGAGACCAATAGTACTCCGGAATTGAAAAAAACAATGTTAAGCTTGAACTTTCAATTCCTGTGGTCAAAAAGTGCGACCCTCTTCGACCCTACTCCACGGATGTGGTGTGAAGCTCGAACGCAACCGGAAATGTGATACCTTAGCGGGAGTGGCAGGGTCGACGACGAGAACGGAAACGACAAACTCTCACGCACTAGACTTGAAAACGACAGAGGCAAGCAACTTCATTTTCGACACCCCATCAGACAGTCATCGACATCAAAGCAGAAGTTCCAGAAACTCTCGTTCCAGTCTAAATCTTACTGAGAGGAAGCGTCAAAACTTTCATTGCTACGGCTGAGGTACTATTTACAACGTGAAATGAAGGACTGTTGTTGTTTGTAAACGAGCGTATGTAATGACATGAAGAACAGTTGCTGGGTGACTCAGTGGGACAACAGTTGGTGTTGAGATGAGTAGAAATTCATCGGATTTCTCTGTCAGACTGAGCGACCTTTACCCGGATATTGACGTCCCGAGCTGTGAAATTGGGCATCGAAAATCGGAGACAGCCATGCCTGATCGTCTAGTAGGTGTAGCAGAAGATGTCGTTCTGAACCCACATGACATCTTCAACGGTGGGAACAGAGTCGACCCAGCCGTCAACCATGGACAAGACATCCGAGAGAGAACCCTCAACAGAAGAATCGTTCTGGTATCTGTTGCCACTGTACTCAGTGAGTCTGCTGCTATTGGCAGACTGCCACTCCCACCAAACCCGGTCAATGGCTCCGTGGTGCAGGAAGAAAACGGGATCTTGATATTTTCGAATTAGTTGCAACCTTCTCCAAGTAGTCGATGAGGTTTTACTCACCATTGGGGGAATAGTTATTGGCCATGTCTCCAGCTATGGCACCATGTCCGCCTCTGTGGAGCCCGCTCTCAATGCCAGGGCGGAAGGCAGAGTATGAAGAATATTCGAGAGTGGTGTTCACTTCAGACGGCGAGTTGTATTGTTCAAGCAAAGACATGTCGAACTTGCGTTGAAGGCAGTGATTGTCAGGGGTCGAGACATTGAAATCCACGAACGATCCAGACGCAATGCAAAGGGTCGACTCGTCTCCATCACCACCAAAACCGGTATCGGCGTCGAAGACGGGAGAGAAAGCGCCGGCGGCGTAGTCGAGAGTCCAATCCCAGTAGGGAATGGTGCTGTCGTAGTTGCAGTCATTCTGAAGAGCTTGCTCGAAGAGCCAAAGGAACCATCTGTGCCAGGGAAGGAATGAAGAAACGAAGTGGACTGCTCAACTGGTTAGGTCCAACTCTAATGCAGAAGGTTCTTCACTCACTCCCAGAGTCCAACTGTCTATGGACGTTCGCAAAGTCATCGTACAGACTGGCCGAGCCCGAGTCCGAGGACAGACGGGACGGGGTGTCTTTGAGACACTTGACAGCCTCAATGTAGGAGGACTTCTGGTCGTCGTGAAGATCACGCCATTCAACACGAGTGGATGGGTTGGAGCAAGACTGGCGCTTGATGGTCAGGCCGTTGGCAAGAGCCAGCAGAGATGAAAAGGCAGCAATGAACTTCATGTTGAGGAGTGCGAAACGATTGACTCAAGGGCGGGTGTTGCAGTTGAGAACGAGTGATGGTGATGACGAAGCGTTGATGTTGGTGAAGAGAATTTCCGATCAAACGCCTGGCTTGTGTCTTTTATACCTATCAATACCTCAGAAGACTCACATTACAGCCTCGAGTAATGCGTCAACCCGCCAAGTGGCTGATCTTCCATGATCCATTCTGAGTGCCTCCACAGCTTCGGGCAGTCCGGAAATAGTCGAGCCTACGTAAACGGTCGCTCACAAACTCGCCATACCGGCAAAGACGAGACCGCGCATTGCATAGCCATCGATGTGACTATGCAGTCGACCGGAGCCTCCTGACAAGAGTTGACGTACTCCATCAAGACATCTCCCTGCCGCCAGTATCACGATACTAAGCGATACCATAGCTAGAGCCTTGCGGCATAAGACAGATTACGTGTTCCTTGCTAGTCCAGCTTGAACAAAACCCTATCACCGTTACTATCACTTCACTCAGCCATCGGGCTGTACGGACTGAGCATGCCCAGATAATTGACGTCGTAAAGAAGATGGGCCGTCAGTCATCGACCCCTCCCCACAAACATTAATTTGCGTCCGTAAATAGAGCCGATTATGCAAATCACAAGGATTTGCGATGTTTAGCTCATTTTCCCTCCTGACTCTCATCCCAGTCAGTGGAACTGTGACCTGAAGGTCGCACGGTGAAGTAGATGCACCAGTAAGGTAGCTATGGAGTGGTATTCCGTATAGGGCGGTCTGTGCCAGAGCAGTGGCTTGCTGCATTCGCATAGGTATAGAACGCGCGTTAGTCCTCAGGAGATTCAATGACTAAGTTGTGGTGGCAGATTATGAACAGCCTTGTCAAGTGCGGAGAGACCTTCTCGGCTATAAGCACCCCTGGGAGACGTGATCGTCCAATGAGCCTCAATATGACGGTCATGACGACCCCTTTGCTTCGAGCGTTGATCCTTGCTCCTTGGATATCCACAGAGGTTACTATCCCGCTCTTACTGCACGCCTGCCGAGTTCCCCTGGCAGCTCCTTCGCACACCCTTTTTTTGCCTGCACTATTTTTGTGAGCTCCCTACACTTTTCAAAGTTTTCATTCAAACCAAATGGACTAGAAGACTCTTTTGTATATATTTGTTGCGAAAAGAAATCAGCATGAAGTGTTGAGAGAAGTTTGCTGGCAGCGTTAGCCGAATAGGTAAGTTTTCCGAGACTGGCAAATTTTCCGTCCAACATGTTGTTCATATTCGTACGCTCAACTGAAAGCCGCACCGCCCCATATTCTAAGCCTAATCTAAGCTGAGCATGCTAGCCTTCTGGAACATCAATCCCCTGGCGAGGTTGCGTAAGTGGTCTCCGCAGTAGGGAGGTCCATTACGTCCCGGTGAGGCTCGCCGTAACGTTGCCACTTTTGACAACTGAAGTCATACGACCCTTGCCTGTCACAGACTGGGTGTATGGAAAGTACGATCATGAAAAATGAGGTTCGTCTTCGTGGAATATATATAGTAGCATACAAGAGCTTCATTTCCCCAAGCTTTGCAGTGATCATCTGGTCGTAACCCTCCAATACTCGGAATTCTGCACATTTAACCAATCTCTTTCACTCATCCTGTTATTCCCGCACTCATTCTCGAACGACATGAAGATTTCCCTGGCTCAATCTGCTATCTTTGGTCTCTTTGCAGTCTCGTCGGCTGCAGCTGGGCCCCTGAAAAAACGCAACGGGACATGTACCCAGAAACAAAGAAAGTCATGGTGAGTGTCCCATTGACCTTCCGCAGAGCTTGGCTTGTGTTTAAACTTCCGAAGAACACCCTCACCAACGATGAGAAGACCTGCAAGTCTACTAAACGAAATCTGCTCACGATCAACCATTCACAAAGTGTTTGTCAGCTTACATCGAGGCTGAGCTCTGCCTCATGAGTCGCCCCCCACGTGCGGGGATTGCAGGGGCCCAAAACCTTTGGGACGAACTGCACCACACCCACATCTATCAGGGCAACTACATCCATTACGTGGGCCATTTCTTGCCCTGGCATCGGTATTTCGTCCGTGCTCATGAGATGCTGCTGCAAACCGAGTGCAACTACACCGGCGCCCACCCATACTGGGATGAGCTTACTGATCTGGAGACCGCCCCGCTCAATCAGTCGTCCATCTTCGACCCTGTCTACGGATTTGGAGGTGATGGTCAAGGAGGTGAAACTCGGCCGAGTGGGTCTATCAACTTTGATTGGATCTGACCGTGATTCAGATGACGGCTGCATCGCCGACGGATCCTTTGCGAACCTCACTCTGCACATGAAAACCACCAGCAGCAACAACACCTACTGCCTCCAACGCAAGCTCAACCAAGACGACCTTGACACAGCAAACAGCGACAACCTTGTTGAATGCTTCAACAAAACGTCGTATGATGAGGCATGGCAATGCTACAACGGCTCTCCTCACGGCGCTGGACACGGCGCAGTCGGTGGCCTGGTAAGACAGCCCCCACACCCATGCCCAGGTGCCGTCGAAATAGAACTTCGGGTAAAGTTGCTGACGCGTTTCTTTGCGCTAAACAGATGAGCGACCCTATCGAGAGCAACGGAGACCCGCTCTTCTACCTCCACCACGCTTACTTGGACCGCGTGTGGTGGCAGTGGCAGGAGGCCAACTTGACCGCGCGTTTGACCGACATCAGTGCCCAGAATATTCCCGATCAGTCGATCCTAGACATAGCTGGCCTTTCTGCCCCTGTTAATGAGCTCACGGACTACAATGGTGATAATGGCAATGTCACAACGCTTAACCACGTCCTCTTCATCCAGAATTTGGTTCCCAACGTCACCATTGCTGATATCATGGATATCAGGGGCGATGTTGTTTGCGCTGAGTATGTCGACTAGATGCCTTGGAGCCGCTCGTTTATTCTGAAAACTTATGGTCCTTCGGGCAAACATGGAGACGTCGGGCGCGGTTTCTATTCTGTCCAATGTACATAGTATAAGAATTGTCTTGGATTCTTTTGCCCCCATACTTTAGAAAATACTACAACCACATATGATCAAGTGTAATGATTCTCATATGTGGCTACTTACTATGTGAGCTTCTTGCGCAGTGGATTGACTTAAATTCAGCTTCACATCGACCTGTGCTGATAACGCTTTGCTGGCAACCGTTGCTCGGC